GAGGCCCCCGTGCCTGCGTGGTCTGGACTTTGCTGAGCGCCGAGCTAGTAGGTGCAGAACCCTCTGCGTGTTACAGACCCAGGGCCTCGCTGTCCTTGCAGACCAGCTGCCCTGAGAGCTGTGCCCCTGGCCCAGAGGGGGCGGGCAGGTCCCACCCAGCCTGCCCTGGGAAGGGCGCGAGCAGATGATCAGCAGGCCGGAGTCAAGGCGCGGATCTGGACAAGGCCCTCTCGTGTCAGCACCACGCTCATAAGTTGCTGTCAGACACAGCAGACATGTGCTGGGCATAGGCCACGCTACGGGCGTCTATCACAGCCCCAGAAACTAGGTCCTACCCATGGGCCACATGGTTCTGAAGGGAAGACACCCAGGGAGTGTCAGCACTGAGCTTGGAACCCAAGAAGCACAAGGCCGGGGCTGGGCGTGCTCGGCCTTGGGGGATCAGTCCTCGCCGCCCAGAAAGCACACTGCTGTCCTTATCCCGCCAGCCGGAAGTGGGAGAGGGACAGCAGGGCTTGCTCCGGGGAGGCCGGGACCCCTCTCCCTGCCGTCACGCAAAACCCGCAGACGCCACAGGACACCGCTGTGGAGCTCTGTCTGTCCTGGAATTGCAAGTTAAACGCCCGGGCCCTCCCTGGTGGCCAACGGGTCAGGACTCAGCACCGCAATCCAGCCGCAGCTGCTTCAGTGCGAGCTCCATGCCCGCCCGGAGCTGACCAGACCTCTCCTGACCCGCCCGCTGCCCCCTCAGCAGTGGGCTTCGTCAGCCGGCCTGTGCTGCTCCCCACTCTGCCTCTGGTGACTCCTCTCAGCCCCCGCACCTCTGGCCTGCACCCCAGTTCTGAACGCATAAATAAACAAATCTTTAAAGAAAAAAAAAGGAATTTCCCAGTGAAAGAAGAGACGGTTTACACAGGTTTGCACTTAGGGAGGCTGCAGCTTGCGGGCACCAGCAGCAGCAAAGACTGTCGGTTGGGGTGGAGCAGACACCCCGGGGTTTCCAGGCCTTAGCCCCCCTCCTCCCGCCCTCCTCTCCCTCCCCGCTCACATGAGGCCTCATTAGCAGAGGGGGCGGGGGGCGGGTGGAAGGCAGAGGCGCCCAAAGCCTGCCTGGCCTTCCAAGGGCCTGGTGAGAGGGCCGTGTGGGGGCGACGGGCTGGGAGAAGAAAGGCCACTCCGGCGGGACTGACCGACCCCCCGAAAGGGCTGCCAAGCCGGCTGTTCACTGTTAGGGGGCTTGTTTCCTGCTGCCGCCTGGGCCCGGCGCTTTTCGGGGGCCCAGGAACAGGCTGCAGAGGAGGGCAAGGGCCCCCTCAGTGCCCCAGGCCCCTCCCAGCCCGACCGCCGCCGGCTCTGTGGGGGTGTGGGAAGCCAAGCACTGGCCAGGGCTGGCCAGGGCTGACCAGTGCCACGGTGGGGTGGGTGCCACACGGAGGCCGCGGACAGCCAGCTTCGCTTTACAGAGCTGTTTCCAGTGAAATTCAGATCAGCCCGGCAGTTTCTGAAAACACCCCCAGCTCTCGCATCATTCCGAACCTGGGCCCAGGAGGGCTGCTTGTGGCGAGGAGGCTTGGGGCGATCATCGTCACCACCCCGACGCGCTGGGTAGAGACCAGAGGCTTCACTACGGCTCGTCCTGGAACAGTATTTTCTGTCAGTGTCCCTGGCTTTCATGCAATGTCCATGGCCGTGAAGAAGGACCAGAGAGGCCGTCGGTCGACCGCGTGGACCCCCTGCGTGGACCCCCGGCGCCTGGGCGGGAGCAGCCCCGTCGGCCTCCGCAGCCAGAGACGGGCCAGCGTTCGCGATGGGCCCGTGTCCCGGCGCGCCTGGTGCTCTCAGTGACCTCCCGGTCCTGGTCTCTCTCCAGCTTTTCAAAGGGCCATTGAGCAACGAGCAAACGGCAGGAAGCCAAAGGCAAGGAGCCAGCAGGCTGGGGGAGGGGCCTGGTGGACTCTCTGGGGCCCCCCCAGCTGCCCACCCGCCCAGGGCCCCTCCCTAACCAGCGCTCACCCCGTTGCCAAAACTTGGAGCCTCCCCAGAGGCACAGCGCTAGAGCACAGCCCCAGAGGCTGTCGCTGAGCCCTGAGGCCACAGCTGGCCAGGCGGTGGGCAGCCGGCCACTACCTTCTGCTCGGCACCGTTGTGCGGGTTTGCAGATGGGGTGGTGGACACCGACGGACCGGATCCCTGGCGGCCCCAGCCCCGCCCACTCCTCACACGAGCTGTGGCCACGGTCCCTGCCACAGTGGCCCCTGCTCAGCGCTGTCCTCGGTGGACTCATGCACCCCGACTCCCACGCAGCGTCACCCCTCACTCCTGCCCTCTGCCATTAGCCCCTGGTGCCTGCTCTCAGGCCACAGCCTAGTAGCGAGGGGCCCCCTGGTGGCCAGCGGGTGAAGCCAGCGCGATGAGGCACTGCAGCGGAGTTCAATCCCCGCCACAGGGGTGACCCCCAGGGCGAGGCAGACCGCTCCTGATCTGACCGCTCCTGACCTGCCGCTGCTCCCCTCAGCCTGGACTTCGTCAGTCCGCCTGTTCTGCTGCCCGCTCTGTCTCTGGGGAGTCCTCTCACCCCCTGAACCTCTGGCTTGTACCCCAGTTCTGTGTGCATCAATAAGTAAATCTTTAAAAAGAAAACCCAGTAACGTTGCAGCGAGGGGCCAGGGTAACTCGCATCAACCAAACACTGCCGCTGGCGCAGCTGGTGGCACAGAAAACAGCTGCGTCTGTGTCCACAGTCGCGGCCGGGCACCCACAGACAGCGCTGAGATCCCAAGCAGCTCTCCCGGGAGAAAGCCTCCCTCAGCCGCCCGCCGGTGTGCCACTCGCACCCTGGGGAACGTGTCTGTCCATGCCCCCCGCCCCCAACTGGCCTGTCGCTGGACACCCGCCACCCCGGTCGTCACAGCCCCACGGGCCACAGTGGGGGCGACACCACGGGCCACAGCGGCAGAGGCGGGAGGCAGCGGCCGCGAGGGGCGCCAGGGAGAGGCCGGTCTCAAGGCGCGTGCCCGCCTCCACGTCACCGCTGAGGCCCACGGACAGCCTGAGAGGCGGCCGCACGTGGACACAGGCACTCAGGAGCAAAGGACGGGCGAGAGCCTGGCGCCACCGCCGCGGGTCCAGCACAGCCGCGCTAGACTTGGGGCCTCGTAGCCGCTGGCGGGCAGGGAAGGCCTGCAGCTGGGTGTGGGTGTGAGCGTGAGTGAGAGTGTGTGGTGTGAGTGTGAGTGTGACTGGGAGTGTGTGCGCGCATGTGTGTGTGAGTGTGTGTGTGAGTGGTTTGTGTGTGCGGTGTGATTGTATGTGGGTGTGTGTGAGTGGGTGTGCTTGTGAGTATGTGTGGTAGTGTGTGTGAGTGGTGTGACTGTGTTTGTGTGTGACTGTGTGAGTGATTCTGTGTGTGAGAGGGGTGATTGTGTGTGGTTGTGAGTGTGGTGTGTGTGTGTGTGTGGTGTGTGTGCGCTGGGGGAGTGGTGCATTTCTAAAACAGATGTGGTTAGAAAATCCTTGAGGGAGGCACAAATGAAAAGCAAATGGGCCCTTCCAGAAATGCTCACAGCTGTGCGGAGGAGACAATAGCTGGCAGGAGCCGCGTTCAGGCCTCCATGGCTGGGGACGAG